TGCAGTCCTGTAATGTGTTAAGCGCTGGGGGGTAGGAGGGGGCTTGCGGGACTCACAGCGGGAGCAGACAGCTGCAGCAAGCGAGGATAAGAGTCTTAAAGGGGATTTGGTTAGTGACAGTGTGTCAGTCCAGGGTGCGAGGAAGAGGAGAGGCTACAGGTGCCTGTAGGGTACAGAGCAAACTCGGTCAGTGCTGGAGTAACCAGACATGCCTAAGTGTGTGAGTGGGACTTCCAGAATTCATCCATGCAGTTACAAGACCCTAATTCATGCTTTAAGAGTGTCCTAATGGAGAAAAAAATCTATATCGTAAGGTAAATCAGTGTATTGCTGAGATGAGGAAAATGTCATTTTTGATGCATGCATTCTATCCCATTTTATGGTGTGATAGATATCAGTGGTGAAAAGCTATATTTGCAGCTATATTATGCTCTACCGGATACAGTATGGATGTTAACAAAAATTATATTGACAACTTTTTTTTCATTATTTTTTGTTTCTTAGACTGTATCTACGGAGGACCTTTTTTGGTGATAAATTTGTCTAATGTGCATTGTACATCCATCACCAGTTTGTGATATTTTGCCTCACGTTATGACATAATGCATAATGCAATCTGGCTTGTGATTGAGAAGTGCAGGGTCTTCCTGTTCTGTGTGGTGTTCTTATTGGCTGTTGTTTGCTTCCTATTGTGAGAAAACAAATGTGTGTTCTGGCCTGGTGGCGCATTACCAGAAAGACAATGGGGCCACCTGCTGCATTATTAACAGGGGAGTATGCTGAAAATAACTGCGATAACTTAAAAATACAAGCAAGTCCCATCAAGGCGAAATGCCACTGACTTTACATGCATGCTAAAAGGACATTTTCTGCATTGTAGGCCAAAGCCTGCCGGTTTCCACTCTCGCCCCCAAGGCATGGCTGTCCTGCATATTAGAAAACTGGATAAACAAAGTATTTGTAGTGTAATTATCGCAGCAGATATGGCAGTATTATTATTTTTTTCATACTTTGATTGATTTTTAATATATTGTCAGATTACCTGGTGTAATTTTGTCAAACCTTTCTTTTTATGGCTATTTTTCTGCTGTCATCAAATACGCTTGTGATCAGGATTATCAGAATGATCATAATCCTGATGACAAGCATCATCCATCCATCCATCCATCCATTCATCCATCCATCCATCCATCCATCCATCCAGGGTCATGGTAAGCCTGCAGCCTATGCTGGGAAGCACAGGACACAAGGGAGGGGGCAACCTGGACAGGCTCTCTCTCTCTCTCTTGCGCTCTCTCTCTCTCTCTCTCTCTCTCACTTACTCACTCAATCATCATCATTATCACCATCATCATTTTTATGATAGTTGACAACATTCCTGAAGTAATTTGTTTTCGGAAAAACAAATGAATTCATTATAGCTGTTTTATTCATTCATATAAAGGATGTTTTTACATTGTATCAGTGGGTATTATTCAGAAGGCTTTTAGATGCAGAGGACATAGCTTATAACAGCACATCACACATATGTTCTCTAATATATTGCGGGGCATTATGTTTCTGTTAAAAATGATCAAGTGTGAAAAAAATGGTACACGTATCTGCTAGTGAGGAGTGGATGACATAAATATTACTATTAATAAACATTGGTTTCAGATACACCAGTTACTTCTAAGAGGAAAAACATGTCATTTCACTGAAAATCTCTATATTACAGCACATTCTGCAGATATTATAGCAAAGTGCTACTGAAATAATTGCTTTAGCTCTTTGCCGAAAATAGCCCTAACATTTTTCACGCACTTCTACATACTGTAAGTGCTAAACAGAAACCCCAACCAAATTTATCCTGTGGCATATGTGTGATATTCTTGCCCTGTCGAATGGTGTTTAACCCCAGTGAAGCACACGGTGAAGCCCTCTCTGTAGAAAACGAAGGTTTACTCGCTATCAGAGCAGCTGAACCCCAGCCCTGGCAGGTAAACTCTCGGTGGGATGAGTACTGTGAGGTGTGAGCAATATGAGTACTGTGAGGTGTGAGCGATATGAGTACTGTGAGGTGTGAGCAATATGAGTACTGTGAGGTGTGAGCGATATGAGTACTGTGAGGTGTGAGCGATATGAGTACTGTGAGGTGTGAGCAATATGAGTACTGTGAGTTGTGAGCGATATGAGTACTGTGAGGTGTCAGCAGCCACCTGGGTTTATGTCAGGTCAGCTCCCTAGGAGCCAAATGGACAGCATCACTGTAAAAAATGTTTTGCTTTTTTTTTTTTAAAAAAGCAAAAGCCAAGCTGCGTCTTTCCTAAATTCCGTTCCAAGGGTAACCGCAAAGACGCCCTTGAAGATACAGGTGTCACTCTGTACAGAGCGACTGAGCCGAGTACGTTTGTTTGGTCGCTTGCTGGGAAAGTATTTAACCCCCCATTGAGGTGCTGAGTTCTCTGAGTGAGAAATGTGATTGGGAAATTGTTCCATGCAAAAACTCCCCGGGATCAGGCATCTGTGGGAGACGTGGGGTGAAATGGCAGAAAAATATCTGGAAACAAAATTTTATAGTTTTAGAAAGTTATATAACCTTTTTATATTCATAAGACTACTGCTGGTGTAAGCATGTGGTGTAATAGCATAGACAAGGCCCATCCTGTGCTGACAAACGAAACAATTAAACTTCGGCGACGACTTTGAAAACCTGTTACATCGTAAACATACTTCAACTACTAGTACATAACAGAGGCATAGCAGCGCTTACGACTTCCACGTTTTTACTTTTGTTTGTTTTCTTTAAAAGATCGAGTGAGGATTGAGGAAACACTATTTTTACGACATACTTCTATTATGAGGCGGAATTGTACGAAGATGGGAAGCAAACACAAAACTTTAAATGAGACAGAATCACATTTGGAAAGACTTTTGCGCATTTCATGCTTTGAGTTGTTGCTCTCTTACATCCTGGTTTTTATTTACCGTAGATAAACTGAACTGAGACTCTTGGTTTGAGTTCACGCTGTAGGTTTTTGGGGCATGTAATTACTATTATGATTATTTTTCTCAATTCTGCCTCCCTCTTTTAATTATTCCTTGGCTTACTTTTTGCTGGTCATTTCTGATTTATCGTTTTCAGGAAAAATGGTGTATAATGATGCATCAAGCATATTTTAATTCTCTATTTTAAAGGTTTGCAAGTTTTTTTGTCTTTGTTATTATTATTATTATTATTATTATTATTATTATTATTATCTGTTTCTTCATTTGTCATGGTTGGTTTAATCCAGATTTCCATTTTAGTGAAATTTCCAAGTTGTTTTATTATTTCTTCATATATTTGTTTAGATTTATATAGTGTCTGTTGTGATTTATAAACTGTAACGTAGCCTCAATACCCTTGTAGTCTAACCTGTAAGTCATGTTATATACAGTGTGTGTGTATATATATTTATTTAATACATATATTCTATATGTATATATTCTCTTCATTTCTGATTTCGGTATTACCCATTCCTGTGTTTTTGCACTTTTTAAATTATTGTGAAGCTCTCCTTTATTGTCACTCGCTGTCTCTCTGCCCCCCCCGCCACTGTATATCTGTATATGCCGCTTGATTAGACTGTCAGAGGAATCGCCACAGTTTGAGTCTGCACAGTTGATGTTCTGCACATATATACCATTTCCTCTTGAAATTGGCTTATTTGTTACTGCGGGGTGGGGAGGGGGGTACTTTAGGACAATTTCCGGGGGGGCTGTGACAAAGGGAAATTGATTTGCAGTTGGTCAATTAGGAAGCTCACAGGCTGACTGACAGTACAGTTCCAGAATATGTCCCCTGTCCCTTCACTGCCTGAGACACCAGCGACATAAAGAGGGGCCAGGACGACTCAACTGTCACAGACCGTATAATGACGCCGGTAAATGTTCTGCAGACCCCCTCCTCTGCCCGGCATTGCCACACCGGCAAAAGATTTCCTGACAGAATCGCGGGCTGCATTTGACCATCTGCTTCTGCATAATAATGCACAGGCTTTGCAATGGTGCTGCTGCTGGTGCGATATAGAGGCAAGATCTGAGCGAGCAGAGGACGGATTTCTTCCAGGTAATAATGATTTAATTAAGCGCGGTAAAATGGAAAGTCTTCCTGCCTTAGCAGCCATTATGGAACATCATACCTTTCTGAGTCCAATTTAAAACCGGGGGGAGACAGCGGAGCGTGTGAACCCTGTTGGGGGGGGGGGTTGTGGCGCTCAGAGGAAAGGTAGGAGGTGGGAGGGGGGCCACACCGCAGGGAAGGTGGGGGTGTTGTCACGCGTTTGTTTGCTTTGTCAAGAAAGTGACAGCAGATTTCACACCAGGGAAACGTGTGTTTGTCTTCACCCATGGAACATTCTAGTTAATGGTGTCCCTGAGCTGGCGAAGGCCTCCTGCGTCTTTCGCTTGTTTAAACTAGTCAGTCCTGTTTAATTTGGAGAAAAAGCTGCTAATTATTTCTTAAAGAAGAAGTACTGCAAAGTGCAATGGTCCAACACCAGTCAAAGAATAACCAGACAGATCATTTGCCGCAGGATATACACCATATTTCCCGGTTATATTTTTTTGTACTCCAGCCCTCCATCGTTGTGAGGTTCGAATTATTTACTCATACAAGCATTTTTTCACTACTTCTGACTTGTAGATAAAATTACTCAGAATCTGTTTATTCATTTTGTGGAATACCACTTAAACTTATAAAAAAGGTTGCTCTTCAATACAGATACACAATTTTCAATAATGTAACTCAGTGGGAATTAGATCACATTTGCATAACGCTATGAAGTGGCCAAATTCGACGTACTCGCTAACGTGAAAAGCCTGCGGTGAATTGGCCCATCCATGGTGGACGTACACTGTTCCGGAGCAAGACATCGCAAGCATCAGACTAACGCAGGCTTTGCTTAGCGTTGGTTTTACGTGATCAGGCGTCAGGCCGGCCATGGTCTTAAGGTTGCCCCTTGTTCTGTCTTTTGCAGGGGAGGTGTGCGAGCCGGGCCAATGCGAGAACGCCGCTGCCTGTCTTTCGGCGCAGGCTGACGAATCGTTTGCATGTGAGTGTCCTGCGGTCTTCGCTGTTTCCCAAACATTCTCATGTATGTCTCTATCACTTACCGACCTCCACAACAACACCATGATGCTGGTTTGCTCGAAGGCGCTGCCCCCTACCCTCTGGCCCCCGGCGTGGCCTGCAGAGCCCTCCTTTGTATTCCCCTCCTTTTGCCTCACGGTGGCGTGTGTCCTTGCGTCTCCCTTGCTGCGTTAGCGCTGTATCTGTTGAGCCGCTGGGCTACTGGCAAATATCCTTGCTAAAGGTGTCCCTTTCACTAATATGCCAGTACTCCACAGATTGTGCACTCTGCAGATTGTGCACTCCGCAGATTGTGCACTCCGCAGATTGTGCACTCCGCAAGAGTGGATGATCCGCCCAGAAGGTTTATGTTGACACCAAGAAAACTGTAGCCAGCCATGCGGACAGTGTGACCTTTTTCAATGATTTAATTCTGTCCTTCTGTTATCAATGTCATGTTATCCAGTCAGGGGTATGGTGACCCAGGGATTAATTAAGTTATGCAGGATGGAAAGAAAGACAGAGAGATAGATAGATAGATAGATAGATAGATAGAGAGAGAGAGAGAGAGAGAGAGAAAGAAAGAAAGAAAGAAAGAATAGCATCCTTGAGAGGACACCGGAGGACACAATATATTTTATTCATTTTTTCCTATTTTAGGTTCTTTTATTCATCCGTGTCCATTCCTTGCCCTGCCTTTGGGTACAACAGGGCACACCTGTTTGGTGCTGAATTTGCCATGAATTTTGGTAGCTAATCTTGCACTTTAACATCCCCTTAACACACACACACACACACACACAATTATATCTTGCATAATTTTTTATTGGGAAAACTCTAATCCCAACACAATTAACCCCTACCCAGCCTTAACCATAAGTAGCCAAACAAAATACGAGACTTTTGCCATTTTTACTTTTTTGATTTTTGATTTTTTTATTGATTTTTGTCACGTTATCGGTAAGAGTATTAAGAAGCAAATGCAATTCAAGCTTCATGCACCACGATACTCCAGGATACTCCAGGATACTCCATGGGCTGCACAGTAAGCATCCTGCTGTGTCTGCATTTGCCTCAAGGTCTTAGTCTATGATGTCAGGTGGATTTTTGCAAAGAATGAGTGGCAGTAGCTTAATTTGCATACAATGGACCGCATGCTCATTTCACCCTGATATTTCCCTTTCAATCTGGGCATTCTAATCACTGCATATTCTAAAGGACATTTCAGAGAGTAAAGACAATAAGTTTAAATGACGCTGTTTAGAGAAAACAAAATTATTCTGCAGTTAAGCTTAAAGTCTTCTTGAACTCTATTCCAATCCATTCATCTCTTACATAAGCGCTCATCCAGCACGTGGTCATTGTGCTTTATCCTCCTGAGACCCCACCCATTCATTTATGTCCATTGTAGTGGACATTTTGTTTTTGCATCTATCTTTTCACTGATGTAAGGAAACATATTTATTCCTGTTGTACACTAAAGAGGACATGCTAAGNATATGAGTACTGTGAGGTGTGAGCGATATGAGTACTGTGAGGTGTGAGCAATATGAGTACTGTGAGTTGTGAGCGATATGAGTACTGTGAGGTGTCAGCAGCCACCTGGGTTTATGTCAGGTCAGCTCCCTAGGAGCCAAATGGACAGCATCACTGTAAAAAATGTTTTGCTTTTTTTTTTTTAAAAAAGCAAAAGCCAAGCTGCGTCTTTCCTAAATTCCGTTCCAAGGGTAACCGCAAAGACGCCCTTGAAGATACAGGTGTCACTCTGTACAGAGCGACTGAGCCGAGTACGTTTGTTTGGTCGCTTGCTGGGAAAGTATTTAACCCCCCATTGAGGTGCTGAGTTCTCTGAGTGAGAAATGTGATTGGGAAATTGTTCCATGCAAAAACTCCCCGGGATCAGGCATCTGTGGGAGACGTGGGGTGAAATGGCAGAAAAATATCTGGAAACAAAATTTTATAGTTTTAGAAAGTTATATAACCTTTTTATATTCATAAGACTACTGGTGGTGTAAGCATGTGGTGTAATAGCATAGACAAGGCCCATCCTGTGCTGACAAACGAAACAATTAAACTTCGGCGACGACTTTGAAAACCTGTTACATCGTAAACATACTTCAACTACTAGTACATAACAGAGGCATAGCAGCGCTTACGACTTCCACGTTTTTACTTTTGTTTGTTTTCTTTAAAAGATCGAGTGAGGATTGAGGAAACACTATTTTTACGACATACTTCTATTATGAGGCGGAATTGTACGAAGATGGGAAGCAAACACAAAACTTTAAATGAGACAGAATCACATTTGGAAAGACTTTTGCGCATTTCATGCTTTGAGTTGTTGCTCTCTTACATCCTGGTTTTTATTTACCGTAGATAAACTGAACTGAGACTCTTGGTTTGAGTTCACGCTGTAGGTTTTTGGGGCATGTAATTACTATTATGATTATTTTTCTCAATTCTGCCTCCCTCTTTTAATTATTCCTTGGCTTACTTTTTGCTGGTCATTTCTGATTTATCGTTTTCAGGAAAAATGGTGTATAATGATGCATCAAGCATATTTTAATTCTCTATTTTAAAGGTTTGCAAGTTTTTTTGTCTTTGTTATTATTATTATTATTATTATTATTATTATTATTATTATCTGTTTCTTCATTTGTCATGGTTGGTTTAATCCAGATTTCCATTTTAGTGAAATTTCCAAGTTGTTTTATTATTTCTTCATATATTTGTTTAGATTTATATAGTGTCTGTTGTGATTTATAAACTGTAACGTAGCCTCAATACCCTTGTAGTCTAACCTGTAAGTCATGTTATATACAGTGTGTGTGTATATATATTTATTTAATACATATATTCTATATGTATATATTCTCTTCATTTCTGATTTCGGTATTACCCATTCCTGTGTTTTTGCACTTTTTAAATTATTGTGAAGCTCTCCTTTATTGTCACTCGCTGTCTCTCTGCCCCCCCCGCCACTGTATATCTGTATATGCCGCTTGATTAGACTGTCAGAGGAATCGCCACAGTTTGAGTCTGCACAGTTGATGTTCTGCACATATATACCATTTCCTCTTGAAATTGGCTTATTTGTTACTGCGGGGTGGGGAGGGGGGTACTTTAGGACAATTTCCGGGGGGGCTGTGACAAAGGGAAATTGATTTGCAGTTGGTCAATTAGGAAGCTCACAGGCTGACTGACAGTACAGTTCCAGAATATGTCCCCTGTCCCTTCACTGCCTGAGACACCAGCGACATAAAGAGGGGCCAGGACGACTCAACTGTCACAGACCGTATAATGACGCCGGTAAATGTTCTGCAGACCCCCTCCTCTGCCCGGCATTGCCACACCGGCAAAAGATTTCCTGACAGAATCGCGGGCTGCATTTGACCATCTGCTTCTGCATAATAATGCACAGGCTTTGCAATGGTGCTGCTGCTGGTGCGATATAGAGGCCAGATCTGAGCGAGCAGAGGACGGATTTCTTCCAGGTAATAATGATTTAATTAAGCGCGGTAAAATGGAAAGTCTTCCTGCCTTAGCAGCCATTATGGAACATCATACCTTTCTGAGTCCAATTTAAAACCGGGGGGAGACAGCGGAGCGTGTGAACCCTGTTGGGGGGGGGGGTTGTGGCGCTCAGAGGAAAGGTAGGAGGTGGGAGGGGGGCCACACCGCAGGGAAGGTGGGGGTGTTGTCACGCGTTTGTTTGCTTTGTCAAGAAAGTGACAGCAGATTTCACACCAGGGAAACGTGTGTTTGTCTTCACCCATGGAACATTCTAGTTAACGGTGTCCCTGAGCTGGCGAAGGCCTCCTGCGTCTTTCGCTTGTTTAAACTAGTCAGTCCTGTTTAATTTGGAGAAAAAGCTGCTAATTATTTCTTAAAGAAGAAGTACTGCAAAGTGCAATGGTCCAACACCAGTCAAAGAATAACCAGACAGATCATTTGCCGCAGGATATACACCATATTTCCCGGTTATATTTTTTTGTACTCCAGCCCTCCATCGTTGTGAGGTTCGAATTATTTACTCATACAAGCATTTTTTCACTACTTCTGACTTTTAGATAAAATTACTCAGAATCTGTTTATTCATTTTGTGGAATACCACTTAAACTTATAAAAAAGGTTGCTCTTCAATACAGATACACAATTTTCAATAATGTAACTGAGTGGGAATTAGATCACATTTGCATAACGCTATGAAGTGGCCAAATTCGACGTACTTGCTAACGTGAAAAGCCTGCGGTGAATTGGCCCATCCATGGTGGACGTACACTGTTCCGGAGCAAGACATCGCAAGCATCAGACTAACGCAGGCTTTGCTTAGCGTTGGTTTTACGTGATCAGGCGTCAGGCCGGCCATGGTCTTAAGGTTGCCCCTTGTTCTGTCTTTTGCAGGGGAGGTGTGCGAGCCGGGCCAATGCGAGAACGCCGCTGCCTGTCTTTCGGCGCAGGCTGACGAATCGTTTGCATGTGAGTGTCCTGCGGTCTTCGCTGTTTCCCAAACATTCTCATGTATGTCTCTATCACTTACCGACCTCCACAACAACACCATGACGCTGGTTTGCTCGAAGGCGCTGCCCCCTACCCTCTGGCCCCCGGCGTGGCCTGCAGAGCCCTCCTTTGTATTCCCCTCCTTTTGCCTCACGGTGGCGTGTGTCCTTGCGTCTCCCTTGCTGCGTTAGCGCTGTATCTGTTGAGCCGCTGGGCTACTGGCAAATATCCTTGCTAAAGGTGTCCCTTTCACTAATATGCCAGTACTCCACAGATTGTGCACTCTGCAGATTGTGCACTCCGCAGATTGTGCACTCCGCAGATTGTGCACTCCGCAAGAGTGGATGATCCGCCCAGAAGGTTTATGTTGACACCAAGAAAACTGTAGCCAGCCATGCGGACAGTGTGACCTTTTTCAATGATTTAATTCTGTCCTTCTGTTATCAATGTCATGTTATCCAGTCAGGGGTATGGTGACCCAGG